TGTTGGGGGGTGTAGGGGTGAAGCGGGAGCCATGCCCTTAACAAGTTTGGCTCATTTATCAAATTACGAATCCAAGCTTGGGCCCGAGCTCGGCTTGTATTTGTAACGCCTGACTCGTAAATTCAAACTAAAAATTCATTTTTAGTGAGCTCACGAGACAATGTATTAGTGGTAGGATAAGAAGGGGCATGCAATCCTAGCTCATCAGAAAATACATCGAAATGACTAGAAGTAGACTAATCAAGTCGGCACGCAAACCAACAAATCAAATGGAGAAGCTCTCTCTGCTTTCCCCACTCAAAGCGTTTCGCAGAATTTTAATCGACGCCGCTTGCCGCGGAGAGAAAAACGCCGCTTGCGGCGGAGATGAGCAGCAGGAAGGCGATACGCTGAACGTAACGTCCGACAATCGCCGGGATCAAAGATTCCGGCAATCGGAGGGCTCTGTAGTCGCGCGCACCTTCTCTCTCTCCCTCTCTCTCTTTCACTGAGCTCTGGGAAATCTTCGCAGCTAAAGTTTACAGACCTGAGGAGCGCAAGCTTTTATAGATCTAAAATTTCGGCGAAATGACGAATACACCCCTTCTTGTTAGCGCGCACACACTCTCTCTCTTATTATTATTATTATTATTATTATTATTATTATTATTATGGGTGTAGCTGAAGCCATGCCTTAACAAATTTAGCTCATTTATCAAATTATGAATCCAAGCTCGGGCCCGAGCTTGGCTTGTATTGGTAACACCTGACTCGTGAGTTCGAACTAAAAATTCAATTTTGTACTGAGCTCACCAGATAATGCATTAGTGGTAGGATAAAAAGGGGCATGCAGTCATAGCTCACCATAAAATACAGGTAGACTAATCGAGTCAGCACGCGAACCAACAAACCGAACAAAGACTAGCTCGATCTTATTTAATAAATGAGCTCAAATTTGAGGTCGAGCTCGAACTTCATAAGCTCGGCTCGTGAGCTCGTTACTTCGCAAAGCTCAAACTGGCTCGACTCATTTAGACCTCTAACCACGTGCAATCCCCTTTAAATGATTTAAATATTTTAAATAAGAAAATATGTTGCCTAAATATGATAGAAGCAAGTAAACAAAAATCTATAAGTCATGTTTTAGACATCTTGCTCAATGTTCTAAGGTGTTTTGATGTGTGTAGAAATCAAGTTTGTGATGCCTTAGTGTTAGTGACCATATCATGCACTATATTGAATGTGACACGGGCATGCATATTATGTATAACACTAAGTTTTGTTCAATGTGTTCCTACACACTTGCCAATCTTGAACATCTTAGAAGTAATTTCATGTAATATGGTTAATGTTGAGACATGTCACATACTTCTAAATATCTCATATATGGGAGCTTTGTTGCTTAATGTTGTATATGGTGTTGTATAATATGTTTTATATTGTAATATAAGATCGGATGTGAATAAGTTGTCGGGAATGCTGATAACACAACATTAGTGTTAGAGCGTTTATATGTAATAGAACGTTCAAAATAATCATTGAATATTTATATGGGTCATTTTAGTCGCAAAATTTATAAAAGAATCAAAGTAGTCCCCACACTATTCAAACTACGAGTAAAATAGTCCCCATGAAGGAGTATTAGAGTTCAATTTTAAAATGGTTATTGACTATTTTGGTCATTCTATAAATTTCGAGACTAAAACGATCTCATATAAATAGTTATTGACTATTTTGGCACTTCTATAAATTTTAGGACTAAAACAACCCATGTGAATAACAGTTGACTTTTTTTGACTTACTCTGTCAATATGAATATAAATTTAATGCAATTTCCTTACTCTTTTATTTCAATGAATTAATTATTACTCATTTATGTTGTTATTTAGTTGCAAGAAAATTTACTTATAATTTATATATTATTTTATTTATTCAATATAAACTATTTAGTTGATACTTTAAAATTTATTAAATTGCCTATTTCCTTATATTTGAAATATTATTTCTTAATATCTTTGTATTAAAAAAAATCAATTTAAACAAAGTTAAAATTGAACATATATGTGAACTTTGGCCCAAACTCGAATTGTAGACAAACAACTTATGATTTGACAAAACCAACTCTAATTTACGATATATTTGACAGAACTCAGCACGATTTCGGGTCGGTGAGCTTCAACCATGAGACCTTCGGGTGTGGGAGAAAATTTCTGACCGCCACGCCACCATCCCATCCACATTAAAGCCCAACTTCCTTATTATCTTAACTAAAGGGATTTCTACAATCCCAACATATATCATAAAAGAAAATGTTGCACTAAAAGAAAAAAACAATAGTGTCTGGGGTCCGGACAAGAGCTGCGTTCAGACAACGGATTTTCTCCCATAAAAGAACCTATCTTGCGAGCATGCACGCAATCCAAAGACATTGTATCATGGCATTCAACATGCCCACTTATGCATTAAAGTAGTAGCATATCCAATTAGTTTAGGTAATAATCAAGATTATGGCTCCCTAACCTTGATAATTAAAGCAATGAAACAAATAAAAAAAATATATGAAAAGAAAAAAAACACGTCAAAATTGTTCTTAAAGTGTTTGCCAAAATGCTCCAAAGCTTCTTCAAGATAAAAAGAAGTGCCAAGATTTGATGCTCCTCACTTAACAAGAATAAGTCTCATTTCAGGAACTAAATGTAGTTCCCGAATCACTCACGTTTCTTATCCATCCTTCCTTCGCCAAATCTCTCTAGATTTTAGCTTTTATAATATATATTTATTTATATATATATATATATATATATATATATATAT